AATTTTCTAAGTTTGTTTGCATCACACAACTGACACAAGTGCACAACAGAATAAGTTTACTATTACCTGTTTATTGTTACTGTACAAGGCTTAGTAAAAGCTGTAACAGTGTAACTGCTGTCTTTCCAGTTGTTCAGTTGGCGGAGCTCAAAAAATAACACGTGATTGCCGACGATTGCGTTCACGTCATACGTCTGACCAAATAGCGCTGGTACTTGAACGATTGCAATGGTAAATATCACATTTGATATCAAACATTGTGTCAAAATTATTTTGTATTTAAAAGTCTTAATCGACCAACTAGAATAAATATCGATACGACTGACATGCATTTTCAAAAATTTCTTCTGAAATTTGGGTCCTGCGTTCAATGAGTAAAAATAATTCCTTCTTAAAAAACTTGACTAAAATTCCCATTAATTCTGAGATTTATTTTACAACAATCGTTTAAGAGATCGGCAAATATCAGATAAACTGTTAGCCCAATTTAAATGAATACAAGTTAGCCTGAAAATTTTGAATACTTCGCTTAACTGTAACTAGCGGACAACGGACTGCGACCAATCAGCCTAGCTTGCCAGTGGAACTGCATGAATCATGCCGTGCACCACCAGACGGTCAGTTCTAGCTCACAGCATCTGGGGTTAGGTTTCAGATAGCATAGTTCTTTTTAAAAATTTATCGTCCTTTGACGCGTGGCCGTTCGACCGTAGGCTGCCTCTACACATTTGACAGATACGGACGGCTCGGTGGCGGGCATCATAATCACTGCACGGCTCCGGCACGCTCCGTCCGGGTGGTGTAAAATTTATTCGCATATTGACAGACGATCCTGTGGGATGATTGATCTAATTCAATGGATGTGATCGAGCTGGTGGCTCGTTGCTGATAAAGTTACAGTCAAGAAGTTTTGCAGACTACGTTCTTGAAGGAAGGGATCATGATAGTCCTTTGGAAGCACGGTAACTGTGGTCTCCGACAGGCACCCCTCGAGTGGGTACCTCGAGCAAGAAAACTGAAGTCATTTGAGTGGGCGGCCGGCGAATTTGTGAGGTGTACAAGTAGGTCGTAGAGACAGTCGAAAGTTTGAGTGAAACACGGATGCTACGGCAGTGTTACTACTTAACAGAACTACAACATTGTCCGCCAGATACTAAAGATAGCCTTGAGAATTTGGATAATCTTCGCGCTGGAGAATCGGCTACGAAGAGGCATCGACAGTTGAGACGTGCGGGATCCGAAATTATCAACGAAGTCAAGAACTACGACAGTGTCTACGAAGAAGAAATCGCGATCGACCTACGAAATACTTCGAGCCCCAAACCAATTTAGTCACCACGGGAGTGTGCGTTCGGACAGTAACCGACCGAGCTTGCTTCTTAATTATAGTCATCACCCACTCCAATTCAAGAGTACAACGCTTTCAAGGAAACTTCCCAGCCTCCTACCGAGCAGCCACATTTTCCTTGGATTGCCCAACTTCACAACTCCCGCTGATATACTTTTCTCAGAATTTGAGCTAGGCAGTGCTTGAGATTTGTGTCTAATTATTAGGTTTGATCTGTTCCTCATCATTATCACCATGTCATAGCTCTGTAATAGGATAAATTTTTTTCTATAATATAGAATATTTTGAGATTATTGATGCGTCATTTTTTTATCCTCGTCATTTCGTTATTTTTGCCACGATCGAGAATCAATAATGTGCCTTAATTAAAAAGTTACGGCTTAACCAACTTGACATTAGATATCAAGAACTTAACGTAACGTAAAACCTGAGGGGTTGAGTTAGTTCAGTCGCCATTCGCCAGGTGTTTACTAGCTATCTATTTAGCTATCTCGCACCGAAAGTCAAGATGAACATCACCAAAGAGGTGGAAGGTCTCAGTATCGAAAGATTCTCAAATTCAAAATTGTTTATCACCCACAAGGGGCGGAAGGTCTCAATTGTCCAGCCCGCTGAAGATGGCTCGAAAAAAGCAGCGTTAGCATCTCAAGGAGACGAAGTGACAAGGAGGGACAGGTGAAAAGCAACAGAAACGAAGACACTCGAACAAGAGGTCGCTTACACGGCACGTCGGCCTCCCGCCTCCCGACGAGAGAGACAGAAGATAAATGCTGTCTCTTATACACATCTAGATGTGTATAAGAGACAGCCTATATAAAGAGAAAATAATTAATAGTCTAGTGACAATATGTTTTTCGTTCAGAAATTTGTACTCTATGAATTAAATATCATCGAAATTATTTAGGTATTGAATGTGATGTATTTATATGATGAAGATGAGCATGTAACTGCGCGAAAACAGCCAGCCTATTTGGCTTGAAGTCTAAGCTCATATTACAGTTAGACACCGGCACATCTTAGACGAGAGAGGAGGGTTATCAGAGTCAGTCTATCGAAAACAGTCTATTTGGCCTGAAGCAGCGGCTCATAGTACCAAATGGGGTACCTGCACATCGGAGTTGGGGGGGGAGAGAGGAGGGGTGTGAGGGATCAGCTCAGCGGCCCAAGCACCCTTTGCTTCGTGACGCGTCTGCCCAAGTCTATGAGTGTAGAGCAGCCAGACGCAGGCCTGCGCTCGCATGACATTCCTTTGACACCACACAGCCAGACGTAAGATACTAGTAGTCACGGCAGCGTCCGCGATCACCCTCGCTTCGGAGTTCGGGCGGGTCTACATACTCCCCTTAATATGAAGGAAAAACTAGAGAGGTGACGGCATAGTGGCAAACCAGAGATTTTCTAGAATCAGTTCATTTTTAATTTCCTCATTAACTCAATATTTAAGCCAAATTCTTATGTATGACAATGCTGGTATCCATGGTGCCAATCCATAGGTTATTCAAAAGAACCTGTTCTTATGTCATTTTGAACCGATCAACACTTCTTTATGGACCGATCGATCCTGGACAGAACATAGAGTCCACATGAAGTACCACTTTGCAGAGAGTGGTTTAATATTGCAAGATCTTTGGTGATGCTTCAGTAGCAAAATTTATGCCTTCAGAAGATCTTGCCAACACATTTAGATCAAAATTCTTGCATTTAATATATTTGCCAGTCTTTGGCCAACTATTTAGAAAAAATTAAGGTTTCCGGTATGTTGGATGGATCAGGTTGCAGTGAAGCTTGCCCGGAAATCAGTTGCAATGAGTTCCCGCCAAAAAATCCTACGCAAATTCAAATGGGAGCGCAGCCGTGCACCACCAATTTTGTTCACCAATAAGCCCTGAATTGAATGCCTTGAATCTCACCGGACCTACACCAATCAGCCGTGCACCACTTGGCTTTGTCCTTTTACGGCCTTGGCCACCACCTGCCGCGCACCACCAGGCTGCGGATCGAATATGACTTCCGGGCATTGTTAAATTACGTAATTTTACGTTCACCACATCTGTGATATGTAATGTGTATAAGGCACCTCTCTTGCACCAGCAGGGTTGCGCAGCATCTCTTCCATGTAGGTGTACTTGTACCAGAACTGGCTGGCTTGTGGCAAGATCGTCACTCCGCGATCCCACACATTTCGGGCGTGGTTAACCTGCACAACAATTACTGGTTAACTCGACATAGGAATGACTCAAATGGAATACAAGACTCATGATATTAGGGAGACTTCTGACTTGGTATGAAATACACCAAATTTAATTTCAACAGCACCAAAAATGCAAGCCGTGTTGTGTCAGGATGAGCGAGTACCTGGTTGGCCCAGGATGTTGTGTAAGGGTACCCACACAGTGAAAGCAGGTTGCCAGCGTGTTGGTTACCTGCTTAGGCGCCTGAAAGTGAAATAAATAGGCCTGGCTCTGGCCTATTCGTACAGGTTTTCACTGTGAACACTTACATTATTATCCTATGTTCATTCTAGCGGCAGGTTGCTCGCGCGGGCAAACCTGCTTGCACTGTGTGGGTACCCTAATGCAATATACTGGTTCTGGCTGGTCAGCCGGCCAGTGATGGTCGTGGAACTACCTTAGAAAAACTGATGTATCAAAATGGGACCAACGATCACCCATTCCCTTCTCAAGTTGCCACTAACAGGATGGGTAATAAAAACACACATAACACATCCATTAAACCTGCAGCTGAAGCGCTTAGTAAAATTTAAGATCAATGTGCTGATGCAAATCATCACTATACAGCAGTAGACTTTGATATTATATTTATGACTCGTTTCGAAAGTGAGTCATCAATATTTTGCAAGCTCCTAGAGAACTTTTAACTACAAGTGGAATATTATGTTTACCTGCTTGCAGCGCATCTCCATCTCAGCATACTTGAGCCACAGAGTGATGTTGTGATGCTCCACGTCAAGCGCGCGTTCATAAACTGACCTGGTAACAAGCAGGAATTCTTAAACTCACAAATTAATTAAAGATTCCACAAAGTTGACAAAGATAAAAACATGGATAGTAAAAGAACTTTTGTTGCTAAGCCTAGCACAACTTAAGACCTTATTTTTATATCTATCCTCTTTTAACCTGGTTATTTTCCACATAGATACAAAACTTTCCTTGAAAAATTATAGTAGGTGAATTAGATTTAACCTGACAGTGTAAGTGAAGCAGCACTTCGACAAATTGAATGTTACATTGTAAATTGAGGATCATTGTAAAGTGAATAATTTGTCTGATGTTATGCCAGTACTCATTTGAGACGCCAACATAGGCAAAAAAAAAACCTTGTAAATAAAATGACGTTATTTTCGATTACTCAGGAAATAAATGCTCATTTTGCTTGCAAATAAAACTCAATTTCTCTGCTTACCAAGCTCTACGTATTTCTCCTTGTTCCTCTTCCCATTTGGAGTACTTGAGCCAGTTGGAGACATTGCCACGGTTTTTCCGGATGTTGTCTTCAAATGCACGCCTTTTTTTTAGTTGATATTCCTGGAAAATCATAATAAGGCAATGAATGAATAAAATTTAATTGAGGTACCATTAAAATAGAGATAAATATAATGGTGATAATAGCCTTACAGATGTAACTGGAGTTACTTGACCGTCATGCAATATAAAGAAAATGACTGATTACACATTGAAATGCAATACTGATCATATTAATTCAAAGTAATTCAAAAATTTTGATTCAACTAGCATTACAGTAATTAGTGATGATAAATTTTCAACAGGGTAGTTTTTTGCCTAACAAGCAATTAGTAAAATTGTTTGTGAATTGTATAAAAAAGTGTATTGTTAAGTTTCCTTGTATGTGATGTCTGTTAGATATGTTAGGGCAGGAAGCTGTGACAATATGGGTAGGTGTTTTTGTTAATATTACTCAAACATTCTCCTAAATAAAATAAAATTAATTCAAAGAGTAAACTTCACACTGCTGATCAATAAGTGCACTTAGTCTACATTGTATGTTAATAGTTGACAAAAATTTGGCTTGGGCTCTGATCACAGCTGTGCAACTACGATTTACCATTGAATAATTTTTATTAAAATTGAACATCATTGGTTTTTGAGTTTCCAAAAGTATGAGAGGTGACACTTTAGATCTACATTTATGTACAATAAAGACTATAATTAGGTATTACAATGAAATCAAACGTCTTTCTGTAGCGTGATGATGCTACACTACGACTTATTTGATGAACTAATGCTTGTCTACTGTATTTTTTCTGGGCAATTGTGGAGTAGTTGTTTACGAGCACATGAGTAGTAGTAGTAGTAGTAGTATGATGTTTGCTAGCGCTTCAGCTATCAAGCTATTTCGCACCGGAGGTCAAAATATAACATCGCCAGCAAGGTGGAAGGTCTCAGTTATTCAAAATCTCAAGTTAATCATCACCCACAAGGGGCGGAAGGTCTTAATTAAAAACGAGCACATGAGAGGTCTCGTCAAGATGTTGAACAATGAAATAGAAACTAGGCACAGTAAGTCCCAGAATGATAAACTAATCCTGCTGTCCTCAGAGGGAGTTCAAGAAGCCAAACATAGCACAAATTATTTTCAGCGCATTTTCTCATTTATGGAAAAAATGCCCTATTGTGCTCGTCATGTCCGTCCGTCTGTCCGTGACTTCACGTTTTTGTTGATTTTGAGAAAATGTGCTGCTCTCTGTCACTCGCTGCAGTGAGTACTGAGTTATATTTTTTTAAGTTGTCACATGCTATATCATACTTTAAATTTCAATGAGAAACATAATATAGCAGATGTAAACTAATATTTTAGAAAGCAGCACAAAGGAATATAATTATGACATTGTATTGCTACATTTGTTATGGGTACACCTGATTTTACAAAAAAATTCACTTTGGTAAATATTTTTGTTTTACAGATATTTTTCTGCCCCATTCAAAGATGTCAATTTTATTCTTTAAATAATGAGGCTAGCATGTCATTGAAGCAAATGAACATTTCAAACCCCTTCATTAGAAATTCCAACCAATTAGAGCACAAAACAGTGAAAACTGATGTATCAAAATGGGACAAGTCAACTTATAAACAGTGAAATGTTGGTGAAAAATTCAACATCAACAAAACTATGATCTCTTGGAATGTTAAATTGTAGAAATACAAACCACATGAACAGTTCTAGTGTATCTAACTCAAAGTCACTGGAAATAGAAATAGAAATATTAAGAAATTGCTTTAAAGTGTTAGTTAGGATTACCTGCAGTTCCTTGGGGTCTGCAATCTTCTGTCTTGGAGGTGGAGGCACAATCTCCAACTCTCGTTCCTTGGCCTCGCTGAGGAGCTGCTCGGCAGTTATTTGCATCTCGGCTGGAGACTTGTCTTTCACCTGAAAAAATTTTGACCTTTATTAAATGCACATATTTTAATTTGTGGGCATTGCAGGTGCAGGTGGTGGGGCTATGGATGGAACGATGGTCAGATAATTAGTGATTGAAAGCATCAAACACAAATGGGAATCCGTGGTGGGGCTTTTTGTGAGGTGATTTCAAGTGATCATATATTATATTATATGTATAATCTTATTATATTATATACGGTATATATTATTAAAGGGTCAAGAAATACTCAAAATTCCAACATTAGAAGACCATCTTCATGGGAATAATAATTTCAGTCTTCAACTATTAGGGCCATTGAGAAACTGATATTTTAGCAAAAATACTATAGGCATGTACTTAATATGGAAAAAAAATTTAAATCTGTAGACTGTTTCTGAACATAACAGTTGAGTTTACATACGAGTCCTGGTAAAATACAGTAATAATCTTGTAGTATTCACATGAAGGCACAAGACTAAACCACATCATTTTAAGTAGTAAAATGTAAGCATGAATGACTTTTTCTGAGAAGCAATAATTGGAGAAAGGCTTGGTATTACAACCCATAAAAAATATATTTTACTTCAACAAAGTTTGTGTATCACAACAGGTGTTATCTTTTACTGCCTTCTCTTGGTAGCATTCAGGTTATAATTACCCAGCAGAAGTTGATTTATATAAAATAACTGAATATTCCTTGTACATACCTTTGCCACTTGGGGCATATTTTGTGGCTTTGTTGACATGATGGCTGATTCTTCTCTCAGCCAAACAAATATCAAATCTGTGTGAGTTCAGACACTGATAATCAAAGCCTGCTTGGAATATAGACTTCCAACTAAAAGATAATTCTGGAAAAAATGTAAATAAACATAAGGTAGTTATTAAATGTATATAAAATTCTCAGTCATTTAACCCTAAAGCAGTCAACTTAATCTCTGTGTATATACATAGAGATTGAAAATGTAGGCTCAGGAAGACTCATTGCATTATTACGACATTGCATTATTAGCGTTTGATGCTATTATGGCCATGATGCCTATGCCTGTCACCAATTGTCTGTTCCTTGTTAAACACCAAGCATCACTTACAACTATACTCAGAAAATAAAAGAAAAGCTTTCCAATAAGTTTGCCACAGACCCCATTATTGAAGCTCTTTACTTTTGGTTCTAACTTTCTGAAGATACAAATCTCATTGAAGTTAATTATCAGAAAAATACTTGGTCATTTAGCTGCAGCAGCACAAATGAAACACCCCACATTTGAGGACGGGTGGAGGCGCAATTTGAGGAGGACACTCCAAGGGTGGTGATTGTTAAGGAAATGGCAGAGATTTAGGTGCTTGAGTGCTGTAGCACATTGTTGCCGGGTGGATGTCTCATGTTGCGGGTGAGGTAACCGTGTTACCTACTTTGAGTTTGGTTTGGCAACAACCCTTCTATCTAGTATGTTAAAGGCAAATGAGAGACTGGTGACTTATATCTTAAATTGAAGTAAAAATACAGTGACAGTGTAATGAGTGAATAAGTTTAACTGCGTTCAGAAGTTATGAGTTATGATTAGGGATAGGGAGCATGGACAGGGTTATCAGTTATTCCATCATTGGTGAACTGAAAAATAAATAATACAAAAATCAGTAACCTGTCCAACTAGATAATAATACAAAGCCTGAAGGGAAATTGAATGTTAAAACTGATGCAATATATACTTAAAAATAGATTCTTAATTTATGGCAAGCTGGTTGCGTGCAGCAAGCAAGAAATATAAAAACAAACAAACATGATATTTGGAGTGAAATCAGTTAAACATTTGCAAAGATAAGCTAAAACCAGAACCAGGATAAACCTCTCAAGTAATTTGTAAAAGTTGCGAAGTTATCAAGATAAATACACTAAAGCAAATAATTCAAGAGTAAATTGCAAGCAGACAATTGACAAAAAAAAGGGAATAAACATTGGATGAAAAGTAAAGCACAAACAAAGCTAATTAATCAGATTAGCAGGTAGTAAAATTATAGGACACTTACAAAACATCTTTGCAATTAAAAGGATCACACCTAAATAGACTCGCCAACAACTTGTGGCAGTTCCTCCTAGTGACTCTTGGTTTTTAAATAATATTTAATACTATTAAGTAAAATCTAAAGGCTTTATCTATAAATGTAGCGGTAACGCTGTAGCGGCAAAACCTCGTATCGCTACTTAATATGTAGCGGGCGCTACCGCTACCGCTACAATTGCTTAAATGTAGCGCCGCTACCGCTCCCGCTACATGTAGCGCGCTACTGCCCACCCCTGCATTTATATAATAACTTGAGACGTATCCTTTTACTATTCTGATTGGAGCTCGGCAATTGAAATGATTTTTGCTATGAATACATGTTGTGGTTTAATATGGTACTTAATCTTGACAGGCAAATAAAAATGGAAAAACACGTTTTTTTCAAAATTGTGTTCTACTGATGGTTTGGAAGAGGCCATACTAGCTGTAGCTGGTGACATCGGCTGACTGGACAGACTTTGATTTGCCTCCAGCTCAATCACAGAATCAGATCCACCGATCTTGCCTTAAGCAATCTCCTTTAACAAAAAGTTTGGAAAACAAAATTTAAGTTTGAAAAAATATAATAGTTTGATCTTCAAAAAAAGGACTCGAAATATACATGTGTATCATTTCTAAATACACGTTAAACATGCCCAAGTGTTTGATAACAATTCAGGAAACTGCGCAATTGTGAAGATTTCCTAGAGGCGTAGCACAAAATCTTACTAAAGGCAGAGATAATCTAATACTAGCTTTAGTATAGGAATATCTTACAGGACTCCACTCAACTGTCTACTAATTGGCCGACTAATCTAGACACTGCGTCCCTGCTTCCTATGCGCTACACGGCACCTGAACTCGTTCCGAACACGTAATAAACTCGACTCATATTTGTACAGTTCCCATAAGTGCTATCAAAGCCTTAGTTAAGACTTAAGAGCAATATTCTTGACTCAATACTCAGCCATACATCGACAGGTTTGCGGTGTTTGTAGGACCACTAATTAACTGCCAGTTCAGTTAGTCAGACAAATTTTGCTAAATCTGCAATTAACTCAATTTAACTGGTAACTATCTATGGCCCTATTAGTAGCAATAAAGGGCTAACTTGTCATTCTTCAACCCATGTTTTCGAAATGATTCGTATCGTAATCGAAAATCTTGTTTTGTCTTAAATAATTAAGACAAATCTCGTCTTGTCTCGTTATGTCTCGTTTCAAATCTGTCTGTCTCGTCCCGGTTCATAATTTACCGGGACACAAGTTTTAAAGTCCGGGACAGAAGTCTTGTCTCGGTTCATACGTTTATTCCGGGACAAATTTTACCCTCTGTCCCGTTATTTTTTTCCCGGAATTTTCTCGTCTCGTTTCGTCTGTCCCGGTTCATTTCGAGAAAATTATTTCGAGACGCAGGAGTCTAATGGACAGGGTTATCAGTTATTCCATCATTGGGAACTGAAAAATAAATAATACAAAAATCAATAACCTGTCCAACTAGATAATAATACAAAGCCTGAAGGGAAATTGAATGTTAAAACTGATGCAATATATACTTAAAATAGATTCTTAATTTATGGCAAGCTGGTTGCCTGCAGCAAGCAAGAAATATAGAAGCAAAACAAACAAACAAACATGATATTTGGAGTGAAATCAGTAAAACATTTGCAAAGATAAGCTAAAACCAGAACCAGGATAAACCTCTCAAGTAATTTGTAAAAGTTGCGAAGTTATCAAGATAAATACACTAAAGCAAATAATTCAAGAGTAAATTGCAAGCAGACAATTGACAAAATAAAGGGAATAAACATTGGATGAAAAGTAAAGCACAAACAATGCTAATTAATCAGATTAGCAGGTAGCAAAATTATAGGACACTTACAAAACATCTTTGCAATTAAAAGGATCACACCTAAATAGACTCGCCAACAACTTGTGGCAGTTCCTCCTAGTGACTCATCAATTTAGGGATCAGTAACTGCACTTGCATGGTCCTCCAAGCATTATCACAATAACTGACCAAGTGGCAATAAATAGAATTAGTTTAGAGGCTGCAAAGAACAGAAAGAAAACATACATTCAACAATAATTAATCAATAAGAAAACATTAATTCAACAATAATTTTTATATAGAGAGCAGATGGTTGGGTGAAAAGTATGGGTAGATGCCTCCCGGCAACAACATGATTGTCACATTGACAGTGTCTTATTCAACTCCCAGCCCAGTTAGTTTTAGTATCCATGCTCTAACCTGCACCTCATGCGCTAGTGAAGAAAATAACTACTCTCTGAACTGCGACAGGATTTTTTGTGCCATGCTATTATGGATTTGCAAGGTGTGATTCCACTTATTTTTAGCAATGAATTCCATATCTTGGCCATCATTGGCAATGAAGAGCCATTTACAAGCTGCAAACTCAGTAACAAAGTTTTGTGCATGTGTTACCTAAAATCTCTAATTTTATCATAGAAACAGCCGGGCATGGAATATATCTACTTGGTGAGCCTTGACTGAATTTTTCAAGCTGTGGTTTAATGGATTTGCCAGCCGTGACTCCATTTCTTCAAGCCGTGAATTCCATTTCTTGGCCGTGAAGAGCCATTTACGAGCCCTGAACTTATTTACGAAGTCCTGTGCACATGCTACCCCAAATCTCTAATTAACAGCAACAGAAATATTTTTCTTTTCTTTAGTGGCAACTGAACACATGATACATAATGCAGTTGTGCCAGTTGACCACTTTGACATGACTGCACCTATGCAATCTTCACTGAAACATTTGGGTTGACCTGCTACTGTTACATTCTGCAGGATATTTTGGCACCAGTGTTGAAGTACTGCAGTTTATGGAAGTTAAAAATTTCATGAAATGGCATTAATTTGACATTTGCAAAGTGTGAATCACGATTTTTAAAATCAAACAAAAATACATGATGTTAGAGCCCCAAGATTTCATTCCTACTGAAATTATATGATATTAGAGCCGCAATATTTTAGAAAAAAGTACGTAGGTCTTTTATTGACAGGGAAACAGCAACAGTTTACAGTAATATTAGTCTTTACTTTAGAGGCAACTGAACTTGTGATAATGCAGTCTGACCGCTCTGATATGACTGCAACTATGCAATCAACAAAACGTTATGGGTCGACTCATTATAATTATGTTATGCAGAATATTTTGACAGGAGCATTGAAGTTCTGCGGAAGTTGACAATTTTATGAAATGACATGTTTGAGAAGTGCAAACTGCAATTTTTTCAATCAAACTAAAATACATGAAATTAGAGCCAAATTATTTCATACCTACTGAAATTACCATGATATTAGAGCCACAATATTTCAGAAACAAATAGGAATATTCCTAACTTGCTCATGCAGCATAGTGGCAAAGCAGTTTTTTAGACTCTTCCTCCAGCTCATTTTTGGGTCCTATAAGTAGACCAGCAAAGTATCATCATGAGGGATTGTAAACATTACTGAAAGTCCAGCTTGGGGCCACCAAGTTAGGGGGAACTTTGTTAGACAGCCAACTGCCAAGGCAGTGAGTTAAGCAGACCTAAAGTGCAATTCATTGTCAAGATAATGGATTTATAAGTGACTTAAACATCCATTACCTTGACATTGAATTGCACTTTTTTCCATTATATCCTAACAATGGCCCAATTATATTATTATTAGCCAAGTATTCAGTTTCAAGAACCCAGCTGGCTTTCTCACCCCTCACCCTGTCACCCTGCCATGGAATATATCTACTTGGCAAGCCACGACTGGATTTTTTGAGCCATGGTTTTATGGATTTGCTAGCCGTGAT